TGTAACCACTGTGCCTGGCTATTTTAGATTTTTTTGTAGAGATGGGGTCTCACTATGTTACTCAGGCTGATTTCAAACTCCTGCCATGGCTTCCCAAAGTGCTGGGATTACAGGCGTGAAACCACCATGCCTGGTCAACTTTTTAAAAGTTTGTACTTACTTGATGCATTAACTTTTTGTACTTAAAATTTTTACTTTAAGAAAGACTTTTAAATTTTAACTTTTAATTATTTCTTAGGCTCACAGGAAAGGGTTAGGCTTTTCTGAGTGAGACAAAGTAACTTCTCAGAAGAAAGGTGTTGCAGATAAGGAGAATAGAGGCATAAGACTAAGTTTGGGTAAGTGATATACAATCTTTCCAGCTCATCCTCTTCATAGCTACTGGGTTCATTCCTTTTTTTTTTTTCAATTGAGGCGAAGTGTTACTCTGTTGCCCAGGCTGAAGTGCAATGGAATGATAGCTCACTGCCACCTCCACTTCCCAGGTTCAAGCGATTCTCCCGCCTCAGCCTTCCAACTAGTGGGGATTACAGGTGCAAACCACCACACCCAGCTAATTTTTGTATTTTTAGTAGAGACAGGGTTTCACCATGTTGGCCAGGCTGGCCTCGAACTCCAAACTGAAGTGATCCACCTGCCTTGGCCTTCCAAAGTGCTGGGATTACAGGCGTGAGCCACTGTGTCTGGCTGGGTTCATTACTTTTTAAGTTAATGTCTAGCTTATAGGCCAAACCTATATCTAATCAAATTTAAGTATTTGATTACTTTATACAATATCTGATTCAACCACTCCTTGATGAAAGTTAACTCTTCTATGTATGTTTTAGTGAAAAGCAAAAACTAAGTAAGATCATGTAAAATCTAAAACTATGGTATTTACATAAGATGCAAACCACAGGTATTGTTCTGTAGTATTGGAAAAAGAGTGAATGTATAAACTTACTGGAATCCACTTTCCATCCTCAAAATCAGTTACTGTCTTAATCTAGAAAGTGATTTAAAGTTAGGGGTTGTTCAACTACAGCTATTACGTTAGTGGTAGTACATGCGTAAAAGAAAAGTGCTTCCTGTGTGAAACTGTCAGAAAGCATTCGTTTGTTAATACAGGAATACATATATTAGGTTAAATTTTGGACTGTTAGGAGATATTTAAAGCACAGACCCTGCTAGTCCATAAGGGCGCCATGTAAACAAAGAGAAATCCAGTCATAGTACATGACTTCCACATCTAAAAAAATGACAAATCCAGTGTTAGGAAAGAGGCATTAGGCAAACTGGGAAGGGATGGGGGTTGGAAGGGACATCAAGTTTTCACTTCTCAGCTTCATTAACTTAATTAGTGTCCTTTAACAAACAACAATGGGTCACATTTATAAAAGTCAGCCCATTTTCACCAATGTAAAAAATTTCAGTTAAAAGAGAAAATGCAATACAAAAAATAAAATGGCCAAATAAAATCTGTAGTTAGTTGATGTCACATACAAGGTTGCTCTTGTGCTTGAAACCCAATACCCTCAAAATTAGAAAATATTATATCCCTAAAACAGTCCTCCAAAAGGCAATATTTAACAGAGATTTTAATAAATCCAGAAAAAAAAATCCAAAGATCTTCAACAAATATCATAGGTATCATATACCTAGACTGATAAGTAATATCTATACAATGTGCATGTAAACAGATGTAGAAAATCAATTTGGCACAGTCTAAAGATAACTCTTTTAGAATCATATTATACGGATACAGTCTCTTTAGATATCATTACTCTTATTTGATCAAATTATTTTAAATCCCTTGCTTCTCAAACTAGAATACGCACACTAGTCACATGGAGATCTTGTTAAAATGCACACTCTGATGCTATACTCTGGGACTAGGGCTTAAGAGACGTTTCCAAGGAGCCCCAGGAGCTGCTGATGCTGCTGGTCTGTGGACCACACTTTTGAGTAACAAGGTCCTTAGACACTAAGGAACTTTATGGTAGTAACCAAGACAAATCCATGAATCCCAGTATGTATATATAATTAAGCCCATCGAAAACATTGTGAACAAGTCTCAACAACTAGCTTGTAAAATGTGGAAGAGTAAAGTGTAGTGGTTAGGACTGGGTTTGGAATCGGCTCAAACCTAGGTTCACATTCACTTCAACTACTTCATGTGTAACCTTAGGCTAATCACTTTGCCTCTCTAAACTTCAAGTTTCCTCATTTGTAATATGAGGATAGACAGTTGTGAGGATTATATAAGATGACGTAAGTACTGAGCATAATACCTGGCACATAGTATGATTTAATAAATGTTATTATTTATTGTTAATAAGGTAAATAATCTAATGTCCCTTCATTCTAATTATATGGCAAAATTTTAAGTAACTAAAATAAAACCATAAAAAAACTTTAGGACAAAAGCATAGAATGCAATGTACCACTATAATAAGCTCAACCTTTTAAGTTCATTTCAAAAACTAACTCATAATGGCTAAACAAAGAAGAGAAATAACTTGAGTGATTTATAAGATATAAGTAACAAATTCATCTCTAAATAAAATGTTAAATACATATTTTAATCAATTTGAAATATTTAACATATTTATGCTTTCATTCAGTATCTATACATACCTTGCTGTCAAAAAATATACCAGCACAAAATTTCCTTCCGAATTTTGCAGGTGTATGCTTTTGATCCTCCTTAGGATTTCTACTATAAATCACTTTATATAACATCAAATCTTAAAATTTTAAGTTAACCTCTCCTATAGAATAAAAGTTTTTTTCTACTATTTTTATTATGTAAAAAATACTAAGTATAACCAGCTTTCCAAATAATCCTCAGTCTAATTTCAACATTTTATTGAGAGGTTAAAATCACACACAAAATGGCTGGGAAGACTTTTTGCATGGCATATAAATTTTAATTAGTCAATTTATTATTTTCTCCTGAAACATTCTGCAATTGGATTTCCACAACCTGGACACCAACTTTTTGTTCAAATGACAGATACTTAAGCCAGATTTCTATTATACTTAGATATAATTTTAAGCAATCTCCTTGAATTCAGAACTTGAAATGACAATATTAATGATTAACTTTTGTTATTTTGTGTTAATTCTAGCTATCAAGAAATATTTAAAAATACAGCGCTAAGAGCTTCCATGAGTAGAGAAAAAGTTGTGTTACATGTGGAGGCGTGAATATTCATTTATTTAGTATCTACTGGGCAATATTCCCATCATGTGCCAGAGGGCAGGAATATACTTCCGGCCTCCCAACAGCTCACATTAGATGAAACAACTCCAATGAAATGCAGTACATAATACTCACAGAGCTGAGCACAAGGCATCAACTGGAGTACAAGGGATTTATACCTATCTCAGTCTGTAACACCTAAGACTGTAGGACGTGGAGGCAAATCCAGCAAGAGAATTTGTACATTTTTACAAAACAAGATGTTCCCCAAACATTTCTTTTTTGGTTAAGAGTATATTTTCTTTTGATGCAAAACTTACATCCAAAGCACAAATTTTAAAGGTATATTCACCGAGTTTTGACAATATATACATCTCTGTAACTCAAACTCGTTACAACAAGCAAGATAAAGAACATCACCATTCACCCCAAAAAGGACATGCATGCTTCTTTCTCATTAATCCCTGTCCAATTTCCAGGAATAATCACTGCTCTGATGCTTAAGCACAGAACAGTTTTGCGTGTTCTATAACATCATACTGATGAAATCACAGTATCAACTCTTGTGTGAGGTGTTTTACATGCAGGATAATGTTTTTTAGCTTCTTCCTGAAAGTATTTTAAAGCTTGTATTTTTTTTCAATGCACAGAATTAATGTAAATACATATCCTCTTAACAGATTTAGAGGCCCATAGTGAATTATATTATCTTACTGCATCTTATACTACATGTATTTTTATCTTTGAGTTATTCTAAATTATGCGTTTTTATAGCATATTTGGAAAATTAAGAATATACAGAAAAAAAGGTCACTATTAATGCCCATATGCAACATTTTTGCATATTTCCTGCCAGTCACTTTTAAAAATCCACTTTACATAGGTAAGATCAACTACATAAAGAAATCTGTATCCTGCTGTTTTTCACTATTAAAATAAGCATTATTTTTACATGTCATTGGCTGTCAGTATATTTTAATGGCTGCATATTTATACAAACACTTATAAATCAGGCATTTTCCAGTTTTTCAGTACACACAGAAATAAAAATGTTTTACATAAATATTTGCATACATTTTAGATTATTTCCTTAGAATAGAGTTTTATAAGGGAAAGAATGCCAGTACTACTCCCCCTAAACCCCAGGAGCTCTAAAGCATGCCTTTAGTATTTTTTCAAAGGTGTATTATAATACTACAAAAATTTCGGTTTAGATGAAAACAAAGAGAAATATGTATAACTTTGGTAAAATGTCAAAGTTTTGCTCACAACTACATCCCCTCAAAACTCAAGAAGCTGGTCCATTTTGTTACTACAGAGTGCACTAAGAAATCTGAATGTTAACTAGTTATCGCCTACTTCCTTCGGAATGTTAGCTTGTCTATTTTGCATGCATGCCTTTTGCAGAGTGGAGAAAGGAGGTGAGGGAGAGGGAGGAAAGGAGGGAAAGGATTTAAATCTTAGGACATCTGTAATGGGTTTCTTTCCCTTGCATGAAGAGGCTTCTATCTAAATGCTTGTAAGTGCCAGGCAGAAGAACTGTGCAGCATCTACCAAAGCTTTGTCTTGAGTTGCAATACTGACTTGGGTTGTGATCACGTATCCTTATCTAATTTCTATTGGAACTGAATGTTCCTATTTTTCTTTGATTTCATAGGTACTTTAGTGTAAAGCTGGGAAAACCTCAGGCAGTTGTTGTTAACCACATACAATGTCACTACGAACATTTAAACTAAAATTTTAAACTGTTTTTGTAAAAATAATTCTTCTTATAAATAATTCAAATAATGCAAAAAAATTACAGCTTAACCCAACATCCTGCTAACCAGAAATAACCATTAAAATTGGTTGAACATCCATCTGATATCTTTGTATAAATACAGATAGCCACTAATATGTAGAAAAAATGTGATACTATATGCTTAAACAAACATTTACTTTTCCCGAAATCTAACTAAAGTGAAACTAAAGAAACTACATTTCAAACTTTTTTTTTTTTAACTACAAGATATATCATATCTTAAAAGCTCTTAGGAAAACACACTGTGAAAAATATTCGAAGGCTGAAATATTTCTAAAACTACTTGACAGTAAAGATTGGCTCTCAGCTATCAAAGATCAGGAAAGTAGCCCTCTTTTCCTGTTATGAACAAATATTCCTTCTTCTCAATTTTTAATAGTTATGTTATTTTCACATTTACCAGTTTTAAAACTTATACTACATATGATAAACACAATTTACACACAGGTTGAGTGTAGGTTTTGAGTTTAAATGGATTCAAAGATCAACATCAATCTTCCTATCATGGCTTTCCATCTTTTGGGTTATTTTGCTGTAGTACTTAATTGTGGAACTTTGATCATGAGGAAGTTTCTAAAAACTACTGCTATATTCCTTGGCTTCTTTCATGGTTAGAAATGTCTGCCTATTGTCTTCATTGTTGAAAACTGTTTACCTCTATTATTTATGTTTTCTTTCACTGATATCTACTTTTTGCTATTTCATTCCTTCTACTAACTTGGCGTTTAATTTGCCCTTCTTTTTCTAACTTAAGACAAAGACTTAAGATCATTGGTTTAACATAGTTCTAATACAAGCATTTAAAGTAGACAGTTCTCAGGACCTAGCTTGAATCTCCACAGAGACTTCTAGAATTTCTTGGAGCAGTTCCTCCTCTCTAGCAAATATTCCAGTCATGCCGGCAACCAGAACTTCCACGCTTTGCCTCCTCAAGCTTCTGATACTGCAGCTCCACTTGTGCTGCAACAGGAACTTGGTCTGTGGCAGAAAGCTGAGCAGAAAGGTGGGAGAAATGTGGGGCTCACCTCATGCATCTCTATTTTCTCAAGGATGACAGTCTTGGAATGCCTGTTGTTCAATGTCTGGAAATACTAAGCTCGTATCTTTTGACCAATTTTATAGTTGTTTTTAGTGGGAGGCTAAGTCTCAACCGTAAGGCCTAAAGTTGAACTTCCAGTTAAAAGTTTGTATCTTTTTTTTTTTTTTTTTTGAGAGGACTCACCCTGTCACCAATGCTGGAACTGGTACAATCTCAGCTTACTGCAATGTAACCTCCACCTCCTGGGTTCGCATGATTCTCCTGCCTCAGCCTCCCAAGTAGTTGGAATTATAAGCACATGCCATCATACCCAGCTAGTTCTATATTTTTAGTAGGGATGGGGTTTCACCATGTTGGCCAGGCTGGTCTCAAACTCCTGACCTCAAGTGATCCACCCACCTCGGCCTCCTAAAGTGCTGGGATTACAGACATGAGCCATTGTGCCTGGCCGTGTAACTTTCAATTTTTGTGACTTCTGGGGAATATACTTGCTTCAGGTCTGTTTATTCAACCTCCTTGATGGCAAGACCAGAAGAGGCAGATCCACCTCTGGAGAACCTCTAGTCAGCTGGTCCTCCTGGCTTGTACCCTGTCCTCTGATATAACTTTGTGATGATGGGGTTGTAGACTCTGTCCAACAATTTAAGGATGTTCATATTTCTAAGTCCCAGGAGTCTCATAATCATTTATGAAACTAATTTACCCAGCTAGCTGGTTTCATGGTATTTATCAAGAAACTTCTGTTCATGCCTTGAAGTTACTCATCTTCTATTGTGACCTTCAAACTGAAAGCATGCAATCTGGATGAGTTCTTGAAAGACACATCGTTTCTGTTTCCTTCTTCCACTATGTATTCTTCAACCCTTGCCCCTGACAGAAGGCTTCTTCAATCTGAGGAAAACTAGTTTCAGACAGTGTAGGCAGGTTGTTAAGGTCGGTCATTGCACTCTTTATATAAGCCTGAATAAGGACATCAAACTTTCTGGTTGCATAAACAGTGAAGAGCTGCATTTGCTTAGTAGGAATAATGAAGTTATACCTGATCACAATAATTATGTCTGCAATGCAAATTTCAATACTAAGGAAAGATGTATGATGTCCAAGAGAAGCAAATACACAGGCAAGGGGACTACTTGGATGATTATATAATAAATAAGTTTTATAATGGGTGATGCTTTTTAGTCCTTTGCAACTGGAGAAATTTTCCTAAGTGTTCTCAATTGTGCAGAATGCTATTACTTCTTTGAAATTAAACAGATATTTTGTAATTTTCCTTTAGTTTTTCTACCCGCTGTGTCCACATCTTTTTTCTAAACAAGCATTCTTGAAAGAAAAAAAAAACAGAACTATAGCTTCACTTTTCAGAATTTGAAATTTATAGTAAAAAATGGCATAACAGTAAAAAAAAAATTATGACTGTATGATGAAGCTGCCAAAAAAACTGATTTTTGTTTATACTGAGTTTAAGCAATTAGAAAAAATAACGATATTACTTTTGTGACAGCCAACACTACTCTCTTGAAAGGGATAATGTTAGACTGTATTTGTGTTAAATAAAACTGAGATAGTAAATTAAAATTCAATTTGCAGGATATAGCAAGGAATCCAAGAGGAAAAGTGGAACCAGGAAGTAGAAACTCTCTTGTTGCTTATCACACACATTTTAGTAGCCATTAGAACTAATAATATCAATGTCTATCTCCCTTGCTAAAATAGTCCAGGAGTTCAGAAACAGATCTTTTTTTTTTTTTTTTTTTTTTTTTTTTTTTTTGTAAAGCTGTTCTTTTTTTTTTAGGGGGCCGGGGGGGGGGGCGGGGCGCGGCCCCCGCCCACCCCCACCCCCGCC